TTTTTTTATAAATATCTATTTGAAGTTACATTTTGCTGTTTTTTTTTCTTTTTTCAGCTTTTGGTTGGGATCATTCAAGCAGCTGAGCTACCTGCATTAGATATGGGTGGTACCTCTGATCCCTATGTAAAAGTTTTCCTTCTGCCTGATAAGAAGAAGAAATATGAGACAAAAGTCCACAGAAAGACCCTTAACCCTGTTTTCAATGAGCAATTTACATTCAAGGTATTTCTGCTATTTATTGAAATATCTTTCTTTAATCACTTTGCACACTAACAAGTCATCTCATGCTCAACTACCAAGACACATCTTAAGTTTACTGGTAACCAGGGCAATTGGAATTTTTCAGTTGCAGAAACATCTGATATTCAATCTAATGTCGAGAATGGTATTAAAGAGGGATAGATTCTCAGCAGGTGTAAAAGGCTGGAGCTATCCTGATTTATGACAGTCTGATTCATATATTGGAGACTACTTATATAAAAGTTGGAGACTACTTATATGAAAATAGGAAAAGAGTGACATTTTGAGAAATGCCAGGTGAATTTCACTAAACCAGCATTTTCTTTAAATATCTTTGTTGTCTGATTTATGAAATTCAGTATACCATTTCATTTTCCCTCAAAAATAAATTAAAACTCAGGGAAGGCAAATGGATGAAGGAAGACACATCAGATTAATCTTGTTATATTTTGCCTCTCTCCTGTCATATCAATTCTTTACCATGCCACTTTACATATGAGAAGAAATTGTGACTCTGGTTAATGATATCAATATTAAATAAATATAGCTAAGCTTATATTTTAATATTTAAGTTCTTCCAATAGTAGCTATGAACAATGTCTTCCTAAAATTGTAGCCATGCCTAAACTCCAGTTAAATTTAAAAAAAAAAAATGGAATGCAATTCTGAATGTTTCAAAGGGCTTCTCCTAATATACATTTGTCTGCTGTTACTTTAGGCCTTTCACTCTATGCCCAGTCTTATAATGACAGCTACAAATTGAAAGCAGGAACAGGGAGAGACTCAGGCTGTGTAATCATTCAATGAGAAAGATATCCCTGGAGGTCACAGCTACTACTGCATACATAAGCTTATTTTTTTCCCTTGAAGATGTTCATAAAAATAATCTTTTTGTGGGAAGGTATTTTTTTCCTTGAGCTTTCCTTAGAGAGTATTTAAAAGAAAACAGAGTTATAAATTACAGATTCCAGTGCAGCACACACAAACAAACAGAAAAAAAGAAATAACCAGTAATCCTGTCATTGAAAATGAAGGTACAAACTATAATCAGAGCATCCACTCCTGGGCTATAATGTCCACTCGTTTGAAGTCACGTCTTTGATATTCAGATTTTACTCTTCAGAAGAAAATTACAGCTTTCTAAGCAAGAATTGGCAGTGATGTTTAGGTGCATCCCAATAGGGTACTGGTCATCCCCTGGATACTGCTTTCTGTACTTAGGAGAAAGCAAACAGAACATGCCAAGTACTATCATTCTTCCAGGGACTGTACTAAAAAAGACAAGTGACCAAGAATACCCGTGAACTGGTGCTGCAGCTTTAATAATTATCTTGTTTGGGGACCACTATATTTTGTTTTATTTATTCTGGCACAGCCTTACTCATGTGAATCATTTGCACAGTTTGTAGCTCCCCTCGGCAGCCCTCCTACCCCTGTCTGGGGCAAAGCTGCCGATGGGGCACCCCAACTCGACGCTGCTGCCCTCTCCCAGGCTCGCAGATGTGAGCCACCTGCTTTCCTCTAGCAAAGGGTTGAGGGGGAAGAGATGGGCTATTTCTCTGCTCTGCTACGTCTTCAGACCCAAACCCCATCCCTTATCTTCTTGAGGTGGCTCCTTCCATTTCTATTTCTCAGACACCTGCAGCACAGCTCCGTGGCTCAGATGTCTCTCAGGGCAGCTTCAGCTCGACCTGTCAGGGCAAAAAAAAAGACTCCTATATGTGTCTCCTTACCAAGGTCTCACCTGCATTGTCTGAGCTTAAACTGAGCATCTCTGAGCTGAGTAGAAAGCTGGGAGAGGGAACAAGCCTTTAAGGGAGCCAAGAACATCTTCTGCTGCTCCGAACAAGGCCAACGCTGCATTAGAGGAGCAGAAATGGAGGAAGCCTAGATCTTCTTGCAAGATAACTGAGCTTTATTGAAGTCAAGTTAATGATAAAAATTAAAAAAAAAAAACAATAAATGTAGCCTTCTCATGCCCATCCCAAATTATGGGACCCATTAAGCAATCTTGTAAACTGGTAGAAGACAAAGCTTTAAAATGTCTGTAGTTTTAATGCTATGTAAAATGCATGTGAAATTATTTAGAGTTTTGTCATCCATACACACTTATCTTCTATAGCTTTTTAGAAGGATAATTACATAACTAATTTACATAATCAAAATAAAATTTGCTATAGTGTTTATTTCCTTTTTAATATAATACTCAGCCCTGCAGCTCCTTGAATGATTGTACACAGGAATGGAAACAAGAGTTGGCCCTCAATTTTAAAAGTTTCTTGTGAACGTTATGTAACATGAAGTAGAAAAACTTCTTATGTTATTATTTAGCATTTTAAAAATCAATTTGAAGCCAAACAATAACAAAATGTGTGAGGCTCCTAAGGTTTAAATAGACCGGAACATACGGCTATTAGCATGGCCAATGATAATGCCATGCTTTCATTTCTCTTTTAATACAGACATTTAATAAAGAAATGTCTACTGAAGCCCATGGAAACCATTTATACTTCCAAAATATATTCAAACTGACCAAGGGTTCAATGTTAAGTCCAAATAATTCCTAAATAAGGCTTTTCCAGACAGCCACTCAAGTGTAACTTACCTGAACTGCACAGCTTTGTCTGAATATTAAAAATGTGACTCATAAACATCTTAACCTACAGCATCTGTCTGAAGTACATCAGAACAGCTGGAGAATTAGTCAGAACTTGGCTTTCTGCCACCACAATTTCTAACTGTGCACTGTGACTTTAGAACAAACCTTAGTGTCCACAGTGTGAAAGGTATAATAATGAATAATATGTCTTGGCAAGTAATAGGTAGTTGTACTGTAAGGGAACTATTCAGTGCCTAATTAGTTTGTGTTGAATACAGTAAGCCAATTCTGTTTTTTTTCCATCAGTCTGTGAGCTAGCCATTTCCAAGTAATGACAGTTGATTTATTGAGGAAAAAATACTCTTGTGCGGAAAGTTCATATGTCTTAGGTGCAAATAATTGAGCTTCCTGTTTCAGTTTCATCATCCACAGAATAATTTCATGTAGAATGGAAAAAAACCCCGAAAGTGATGAGTGAGCTGCCACCTTGTTCTATTGAGTGCAATAGCCGAGTCACACAAAATGCTGCAGCTGGTGATGCTGAAACAAATATGCCCCATAATTTTCCCTGCAGTTCAATTTACCTGAGATGACAGCTGATAAAGCAAAGAAATAGATTTGCATTGTAGTGGACTCATCTTTATTGTCTGAGCGTTTGTCATTTTTCTCTCCTCTGCAGGTGCCATACTCGGAGCTGGGTGGAAAAACTTTAGTGATGGCAGTTTATGACTTTGATCGTTTCTCCAAACACGATATCATTGGGGAATATAAAGTTGCGATGAACACGGTGGACTTTGGTCATGTGACGGAGGAGTGGAGGGACTTGCAAAGCGCTGAGAAGGAAGAGGTAGGAAAAATCATTTGTTTTTATCAAGACACTTTTATCCTCAGCTGGAGAAAGAGTCAAAACAGAAACTTTTTTTTTTTTTTTTTCTAAAGCATTCTCATCTGCTATGAACATTTCTCAGGTTGATAAATTTTTGATATATCCTGTATTGATCCTACTTTTAGGAGTTTTTTAATCAATCCTTTTGAGACTTTAAGCAACATATTAAGGAAATTTTCATGAGTTTGACTTGAAATGGCGCGGTTTATATCTTACTGTGCAGGAAGGTAATAGCAGATCTTCATTGAAATACTTCTGCCGCACAATAATAACCATTGATTAGAATTGTGTGTTTAACAAAGATCTTGGAATGAGCAGCATCTATTAGCTCCTAATAATACAAATATTAGCTCCTTCTACTATTTTCCTCTCTCTGCCACCATCCTGTATGTTCTTTAGTAGATATATGTACACAAGACACTTTTTGGAAATATTTCATAACAAATTTTGCATTCCGTGAGATTCTTCATCCTGGCAAGTCCACCTTCTTGCTTACTATGGGAACATTTTCTGCTCTGTTTTACTTTATTTTTCTTTTTGATTGCTAGATAATATCTGCCCACTCATACTAGTCAGGGTGCACAGCACGCTTCATTCTCTAGTGAGAGGAGGATGAATCTAAGCCTGACTCCCTCGTTGTCTGATTTAGCTAATAAACTGCTTTGTATTCCAACCACTGCTTCTGTAATTGAAAAAACAATCTTTGGTTGACATTTTTCCTTAATACATGTAATGAAAACCTGAATATTGTATTCAGAATACAAGTTGAGAAAATTCAGCAAATAATTATTTTCATTCCCCCTTTTAATTTTCAGCAGTACCGTGCTGCCCACTCAGATTTTACAAGGTGGTAGATTTTATAGCCTTGCTTTTTGTAGTGTTGTTTTTTTAAGACTGTGTTTTCAGTTCTGTTTCTTCTGCTTCTTGTTAATTTGAAAGCCATTGCTACACTGAGGCTATCCTGCATAGCATTTTTTTTTTCATTGGGACATCATGTGCAGGACTCTAACTGTAATTGCTTGTGATGGCAACCACACTATACAATGTATTTTGCTTCCATTTGAGAGCTAAAGATGAATATGTCAAAAATGTTTGCAGCTCAAGGACCTTTAAAGTCTGGACACGCTGAAAGATGAAAAAGTGAAATCAGAGTGTATTAATCCTTCCCAACAGTATGAAATATGACTAATTCTGAATTCTATCACCTAAGCTTCTGTTCTAGTACTGTAATATCAACATGCATACTGCTTTCCTGTTGCAAAAAAAATGTAAAATATAGACCAAAAAAAGAACTTAACCTCTCTCCTTTTAGTATAAATTTAACATTTTAGAACATTAGCAATATTCCCATATGTAGGTGACTGATAAAATGATATACAGTAGAGTGGGTTTTTATTTACATTGAACAGCAAAACATTGAACTTGCTCACTCACAATGACAGATTGACACAATGACAGTCTCTGGTTCCTTCATAAAGTTCATACCCTCCTAATACAAAACAATGTTAAAGTGACTTGAAATAGGTATTGACCAGTGTGAGCTACTTCTAGTACCAAAGTATATATTGTAAAATAGAAGAAGCACAAATGCATTATGACTTGAATGGAACTTGTTGAAATAAAACAAGGTAGTTAAATGAAACAATTCTGACAGTATTTGGAAATTGGAAGAATATTTCAAGAAGTTCAAACAATTTGCAGCAAGATATAAATCTAAAATGAAGCTTATTTGTGCTTTCAGAGCTCAAGTGACAGATTTGCATGTATTTGTCTTTTGTTCATGCAAATGCCATATTTGCATGGTAACTAGAAGCTGCCTGTCCTCAGTTCTCATTTGAGCCTTTGCCGTCTCCATAGTCATATTGAGCCTCAGCCCTTCTCAGCCTGCCTTTATATTTCCTGTGCTGCATATGCAGGGGAAAAAATGCCATTTTTGCAGAGTGTTTTTTTTTTTTTTTTTTAATGGGGATTTTTAGAAGCCATAACTCAAGTGTTATTTTTTAATAAGAAGCCCAGCTTATGAGCCTGTGAAAATATTCTTGCACTCTTTTATTATTATTATTATTATTAATGTATGTATGTATTTATTTATTTATTTGGTAATAGTAAAGGCTTCTGTTTCACTTCCACATCTCTGCTCACCAACATCCAAAGTATCCAGTGAATATGGAAAATTGTCATAGCATTAGCTGGAGACTTAGTTAATCTTGAATTTCCGTATAATAGAATTTGACCTGATAAAAATGAAATTTGATCCCACAGAAACCAGTTAGCCAAGAGTTAGGTAAGACAAGTGTATTCAAACCAAAATGTCTTCATTTGTGTTTGAGCTAATTTATGTGTGTCACACATATGTTGAACCTCATCTAAATTATTGCTTAGCACAATTTAGGGAAGAAATCTCTACCCAAGCCAAGAGAGTTATGTGTTTAATGGTTTAGGGAGCTGTGGTTCCCAGGAAATGACGTTTCCTGGGAAATGTGTTTCCATATTTGATTATTGCCAAGTCACTGCTCCTTTGCTCGGCAGCAAAGACGCCAGCCAAGCTGTTGGTCGTAAGTCTGCCATAACAAGCAAGGGGCAGGGAGGCACAGAAGAGATGGGATCTCCATTAAGCTGTTATCAGCTAATACAGCAGGCATGCAGAATTTGCAGCAGACATAATGCACCAAAACCACAAATTAAATGCAGAGCCTATAGTAAGATCAGGCATACCTGATACTTAGTGGGTTTTGGTCTCCTGCAATGATTTGGTCTCCTGCAATGATGCTTTCACAGCTTGTCTGAAGCTATGTATAAGCTAGCATTTCAGAACACTGTTAGCTACAAGGAAATGTCTAAAACTTTAGAGTAATACTACTTTACTTTGTCTGAAAATGTGATCTGCCTGGCATTTTGGAATTATTAGGCAGTAAGGAGTCAGAGAACACCTGGGATACTCTAATATGTTAATAGAAATGTTTTATGCATACTGCATATATATGTAACTTAAAGACATTTTTAATATTTCACAATTGTTACTATGGGCTTTGGCTTGCAAATATGCACACCAAGCGGTACCCTCACTTCGGAACTAACAAATACCATACTGCAAGTACAAAGGCTAATATGATTTGCCTAGGCTAGATGTGTAGCAACAGGCGCATCCTTACACCTTGTTAGCGATTACAAGCATGGTGGGGCAACCTGGATCTGTAATTCTAAGAAAACATAAACTTGGAATTAAAACCTTAAGCAAGTAGATTTCATCAAGAATAGTATGGCAAATATAATTATGTTTTATTAACATGAAAAATCTCTTGCAGTAGTCCACATTTTATAATTACAAATCGTGAATTTCTCCCTGAAAAGCATATCTGTATGTAGTCTACATAATTCGAGAAATAGCAGTTTTTGTCTTTTTTTTTTTTTTCCCTTACAGGATTTAGATAGATTTTTCAGTTCCTTACAACCTACCACTAATTAGAATGCTAAACCTGTTATCAATTAAGTGTACCAAACTATTCTTTATGTTTTAATTATGAACCAAATACAAGATATATGCCAAAGCACATCAGTGGCAAACATGACCAGTTTTGAAATAGTCATCTAAGTGGCATCAATAGAGTACAAAAATCTTATTTTCATTTCACTTTATGTAGAATTCGTTTGTTGCACATCACAGAATATACAATCTAATGAGCACTATAATCATAAAAGAGGAATTCATTTTACAAGCAGTTATTCTTCTTTTTTACTCAGAAAGCTCCACTGTACTTTCCATGCATTTTTTTTTTCTATATGGGCTTAAAATTCCTAGCAAAGGATGAAGGTTTAATGAAATATTTGAAGCTTACCTACCTCTGCTGGCCCAGCTATCTGAATGTCATCTCAGTGACATTCCATTTGCTTCTGGGAAAGCTCTTGTCAATATATGTATTGGTTAAGCACTTGGAAAGTAAAGGACTCTGTAAGCTTTTGTTATGCCTGTGGAGTGCTTTGGGAATGTACCAGTCTGCAGAATGGTTGCTAAGTATTGGGGAGGCCACTATTAATGAGCTACATACTTGAATCCTTTTTCCTGAGCTGCTTTTAGTTCTGCTACCTTTGTGAAGTATGGTGGCAATTTATCTAATAGTCCTTCAGTCTCATATGACTGAGGGCATGGGAGGGAAGAGAGCTAGATACTGAAAGATTATTCCCTTTTACCAAGTTTGACATATAATGGTTTGGGCACAAAGTGTAAAAAAACAGATGATAGGAGTTTGCTCCTCTGTGTCATCTACCAGATGCCACTGCCATTAACTTTATCTGAGTACACACTGCATCCAATATCTGTTATCACTCCAGTACATAAGGCTAGACAGAGCTCTCCTTCACTCCCAGCAGTATGAATCATTCTGAGAGTCATCTCCTGCATACCTCAACCGATTGCTCTCCAGACACTTTGTTATATTGGCACTTAAATTAAAAACCTGTCGTAGCAAATATTCCAAGAAATCTGGAGGATTGTGGAAATACCAAGAGGAGCAGAAAGGGCTCCTCTTTGGAAGTAGTGGGGAAGCAGAACTTCCTTCTATAGGGAGGAGGATCTTCAGCCTGCAGAATCCACCCCAAAGACTTATGCAGAGCCTCTAGGAGTCCCCACAAGTATGACGGTGGCCTGGGAAATGGAAGGCTGGATCTGTGAAATGTCACATGTATGCTCTTCATGCGGGTTATTCTTTCCTCTGTCTTCGAAAAGTAAAGCTGAAAGCAAGAGTGCCTTTGGTAACCTTCATGGAAGTTGAAGATTGACAAAACTAGTAAGCCATCTAGCTCCATGAATCTTCAGCACTGAGACGTGCAGAGAGTTTAGAAGAAAGGACATTGGTAAAAATGCTGCCGTCAAATCACACCAGCAAATCACTGTCATTTTGCGTTATCCCAGAGACGGACGGATGATCTAATAGGCCTTTTCCCATCTCTAATAATAACACTTA